AAGTTCAGAGCACATTTTATGACCAATTCATGCAAAACTCCATGTAATCCCAAGGGGTTCACATACTTTTTCTTGCAACTGTAAATGCAGGGAGATTCTGATTTACAGCACAGCTGTAAAATTGACTGCGAACAGTTGCGATAGGAGGCAGGCAATTTAAATGACTTTAAAAGTGGATTTGAAAGTTGCATGAAGTATCAAGTCTCAAAAAGGTGCTTTTTCAAAAGGCAGTTGGACTATTTTTTCCCTTGAGAAAGAAGACATTTAGCTTCTCATCCAAAAGCTTCATCAATTCTTGGATGAGAAGCAAAAACATCTTCCTGAAGAAAAAAACATAGTCCAGTTGCCTTTTGAAAAAGCACCTTTCAGATAGTCATGATGACTGAAAATTTCCATAGTCATGGAAAATCAAGCTATCAATAACTAATGCTAACTGCATTATTGTTTAACTAAGTCCTTAAATATGGTTACTGAGAAGCAACTGTGGAAGGAGGATTCCAGCCATTCCAAACTTGGGTTACGTTCCAATTGTTTCCCATGTGACACAACGTGCAAGCTTAGGCTGCCATATGGCCTGATGTAGCAGGACTCTGTTTTCCTTCTTATATTAACAATACAATTATATATATATATATATATTTAATTCACCTAGACATCTATATATTTAATTATCTTCAAGTGTTTAATCAAATTCAATAAGGGTACTTGTCGTAAATTATTAGACAGATTTTAGGTAGCATTTATTCTGGAAATACGAAAACGATTGCTATGCAGTTGGAATGATCTGTCAGTAATATTTTAGTATTTATTTGCTGTTTACTTCATGTTAAAATATATTTCGTAGATTAATTATTCGACAGCCGTAATTTAATGATGAATTTTTGGTACGTTTAACAGGAAAAAGACAGCAGTGACTGAAAGTTTGTGCTAGGGTGCCCTCCAATGGCTTCCAGTATGTAGTCAGTTTCATACCATGGAGGGGAAAAGTGTTCTTTTAGCCATAGGAGATCATTTGGGGGTTATCTTCATCATTCATTCTTGGTGGTTGATGACCGTTCCATGAATTACGTAGAGTTCTTATGTGATTCATGAACTTCCAAACCCAAATGATCCTCCCAGAGTTTTTTTTTAAGAGAACAGTTGAACTGGGTTTATAATTTTAATGAGATGCAGTCCATTTAAATGAGGTAGCTACCTATCTTTCTTCAAATAATTGATAGTGTCCTACTTAATATGCTGTAAGTATTTCAAGAATAAATTTTTCAGCTTTTTTGTATACTTTGATAACCTTCCCACACTCACTTAAGTTTACAGACTCAAGAGTTTGGAAATGATAGCACAGCCATATTTGGGAATCTCTAAATATTGAATAGGGATGTGGTGGCTCATTGGTTTTGACGCTGATCTTGTCGATCAGGAAGGTCAGCAGTTCGCCGATTCAAATCCCTAGCACTGCGTAATTTGTCCCAGCTTCTGCCAGCCTAGCAGTTCGAAAGCTTGTAGAAATGCAAGTAGAAAAATAGGAACCACCTTTGGTGGGTAGGTAACAGCGTTCTGTGTGCCTTTGGCATTGAGTCATGCTGGCCACATGACCACAGAGATGTCTTCAGACAGCGCTGGCTCTTCGGCTTTGAAGCGGAGATGAGTACTGTCCTCTAGAATCGGGAATGACTAGCACATATGTGCAAGGGGAATCTTTACCTTAAATATTGAATTAACTTAATTGTTCTGTAAAGAAGCAACCTCAGCTTCATTCAATACTTTTGTTTTATATAGTCTGAGGGAGGATTTTCTTCCTTTAACATATCCTCACCTTATCTTTCTTCTTAAAAATAAGGACAAAATTACTCTGGAGAATTTTTCAGATATCAGGCATTAAAATTTCTCATTCCTTATAAAAATTGAAAGATTTCATAAAGACATATTAGTCATCTATTCTAACCTTGTTTCTTTTTAGCATTTCAAAATTTGAAGAACGATGCTGTTTCCTGTATGTACTACACAATTCAGATGACTTCCAAATCTATTTCTGTACAGAACATCACTGCAAAAAGTACGTGTTGATTCTTATTTCATATTTTAAAAGATAAATATGCTATTTTTACATCTGCCATGTTATTATTTGATAAAGCATTTTAAAATCCACTATGGCATGAAAAGTAATTGTATTTACTGAGAATATTTCGCAGTTTAATTTCAGCTTCTGAAGTTTTTAAGCAGTAGCATTCACTTTGTATTTATGAAATGCATTCGTGCTGTTTTTTGCCTGGCTGACTTTTTCTGGGCTCAGAAGCTAAATAGAGTCAAGTCTGGTTGGATGAGAGACTACCAGGGAACATCATTGTTGTGGTAAAGCCATCCAGGTCTATACTAAATCTTCCAAATATCTACCCATTCAAATTTGTTTCTGTATTTTGAAGATTTAAATTAAATTGTCTTAGTTTTGAATGGCTTCTGTTATGGATTATCCCCTATGTTACATAATTTTTCCTATACCTCATTCTATAACTTATGCATTCCATAACTTTTTCTTTGCAAGCATTTAGGAACAGATATGAAACTTAAAAAAGAATTGTTTACCATATTTTTCAGAGCATAAGACTCATCGGAGTATAAGACGTACCAAGATTTTGAAGAGGCAAATTTTAAAAAAAGGTTTTGCACTCTGCAGACCTCCCAAAAATAGTCCATTTTTCACAAAAACGGGCCATTCCCCCCCCCCAAAGGGCATGAATAGTCTTTAGGAGTCTTGTAGAGTGCTCCTGGGGGGTGGGGGAGCCCAAAAACGAGCAAAAAAAGCCCATTTTTTGCTCATTTCTGCCCTCCCCAGCACCCATGAAAGCCTCCCAAAGGCTATGCACAGCCATTTCGGTGAAGAGGTGGAGGAGTTTCGACAGGCAAAAAATTCTGTATTCAGTGTATAAGATGTACCCAGATTTTCAGCCTCTTTTTTGAGGGAAAAAAAGTGTGTCTTATATTCCAAAAAATATGGTAAATCCAAAATTAGATTGGAATTTATATTAAAACCCCTCTTTCTCAAGTGACATAACCACCATACATATGAGGGATGGTATTCACTTACCTTCCCTACCGTTTTGCAAATGTGAGCGCGTGCATGTGCTCAGCCTTCTGCTCATGCGCTTTGGCTAAAAAAAGGGCCTAAATGGGATGCCATAGCTATTTCCGCTATCAGTTCGGGTGACCCGGTCTGAACAAGAATATCACCTCTGATACATATATTTTCAAATGGCATCACACATAATAAGGTCAGTGCTTATTTATTATATTTATCCTATTCTTTCTCAACAGTTCAAGGCATTATACATGCTTCTTCCCTTTCCATACTTGTTATTTTCACAACAACCCTGTGAATTATCGTGAGCTGAGGAATAGCAATTATTTTAAAGACATTCAGTGATCTTTAAAGCTGTCTGGGGATTTGAGTCAGGTGATCCCTTGTTTTATTCCAATATTCTAACTCTTACTATATGCTGGGTATTGTTGTGTTTACCAAGACAATATGCAAAATTGTATATTGAGGTACAAGGTGCAGTCTGAAGGGGATATATCAAAACATGCCCAGAATTTCTTTTATGAATCATAACTGTGGTATCAATCAGAGTCTGCTGTGATTGCTAATCACCAAGTTTTACTCTGCCCATTGTTCTTTTCTTCTATATGAATACTGTTTATCTTTGGCAGATTTTTTGAAATGGTTAATAGCATCACTGAAGAAATAGGAAAAAACACAGAGGAAGGTGAATGTGATGATTCTCTGGAGGTAAAGACAACTGTGTATTCTTCCTATTTTTCCTATTTTAAAAAACAGAGCTCCATAGCAAGTTCCACTTCATATCCATAACTTTGCCTGCTTTCTAGACTTTCTTCTTGATGCTGCTGTATTTCAAGCATTTGTTAGCAGGAACAGAGACTATTGTGATTTACAACCTCATGTTTCTTTTGCAGTACTACAATAACATTACGGAGAAAAAAGCAAGCCATATTCATGTATAAACCTGTTGCAGAGAGATGAACATTTTAAAGAGTTGTTCAAACTCTAATATTTATATGCATTGTTATTTGATATTTAATCATCTGTTGAGCATATAGGTAATCCTTGTTTAGCAACCACAATTGGTGCTCCCTTGCTAATCAGTGCAGTCACTAAGGGAAACATGATGTGACCATGATGGACTTATGACATCACTTCCAGTTAGATAATGCATCGAGTCACCGCAGATTGTTAAGTAAAGTATCAAAAAATAAAAGATTGCAACTTGTGATTTTACTGCAAGTTTCTCCAATGTTTATCGGAAACACACAAATGGCAATTATGTAATTTTAAAACATAGCAAGGTTGTAAAAGCCCATCAGTTACACAGTGTCTGGTTATGTGTGTTGATCATATATCCACAGGGACATTGTGACAGTTGTAAATGTGAGTTCTGGTCATAAAGTTATATTTTTAACACTGTCGTAACTTTGAACAGTCGTTAAACAAGGCAGTGTGTTTAATTATTGGCTGCCACATGGATGTTTAGATCTTTTTTTAAAACATCAAGAAGGTTCATGGGGAAAATATGGATCAGTGGAAAACAAATAGAAGTTAAATTTTAAACAGAAATTGTCTTATAAATAATCCTATTCAGTGACTGCTTCATTTAGTGACTGTTCATAGTTACAACAGCAATAAAAATGAACTTTACAACCAGTCCATGTAGTTAGGGCTTTTGAAAGTTGAAGTAAGATCATACACACAGTCCAGGTTTCACTTAACAACCTCTTTGCTTAATGAGCAAGTTGTTGGTCCCAGTTATGGTCACTTAATGAGGACTACCTTTTATAAGATTCCTCTCCTCCCGGGAATGCTAATTCACCATTATGAAGTATAGATTTTTAAAAAAAGATAAAGTATAGATTAAAAAAGAATAAACACAGATTACACAACGGAACTGACCTGACATTTAGATAAGATGTTGATTGTCCTTGGTTTGAGCCACTGTTGAATCACATCTTCCCAAAAGATTACAGTATTTGTGTTTGACACATAACAGAATTACATATCCCTTCCCTTTTGTGTATTTTTTCTTGTTATAGTATGATTATGAATATGATGAAAATGGTGATCGAGTCATTCTGGGGAAAGGCACTTATGGCATAGTTTATGCAGGACGAGATCTGAGCAATCAAGTCAGAATTGCCATAAAAGAAATCCCAGAAAGAGATAGCAGGTATAGTAATAGTGAATGCTGACAGATGCTGCTATATTTACAATTATACGGCTAATGCTCACCATGTTCTGTTGGAAAAACTAATAATAGATCTCCAAAGGTGTTCCTTCTTGAGAAGCACTTATTTCTCAAACAGTAGATACACCAACCATAGACAATCAGAAAAAGGGTCCTGATAGGTGTTGTTCAACCATCTCAGTAATAGCAGTAGCACTTAGACTTATGTACTGCTTCACAGTGCTTTAAAACCCTCTCTCAGCGGTTTACAGATTCAGCATATTGCCCCCATTTTACTGACCTAGGAAGGAAAGAAGGCTGAGTCAACCTTGAGCCGGTCAGAATCAAACTGCCGAACAGCTGACAGCCAGCAGTCAGCAGCCTGCGATACTGCATTCTAACCATTGCACCACCATGGCTTTTTCATAATGGTATGAAAGGAGTCTTCTTGCCCTTGTTCACATCACAAAGCTGTGTATAGGTTTCTGCACCTGGGCCCAGAGACTCGGGAAGCAGAATTAGACCCGAAAGACAATTGCTGCATGAACACAAAATGCTTAATTATAGGTCACTCAAACATGTGGTATTTGTATCTATGCAGTGTGCTTAGTAAGCCTAGCTGGATTTAATATGGGTTAGTTATTTTATGGCTATTTATGTTCCCTTAGCTTCTGGTCCAGTGGCTAAGTGCTTTCTGAATGTAAGTTTAAAAAAAAGTACCTTAGGAGATTATGAAATATTAACACACATTTCCATTTCCCATCCCTTTTGGCAATGGATGATTTAAAGCACAGAAATGGCATGGGTGTTCTTAATCCTTTCATTTAGCTGGCCATCTGGCCAAGCAGAGAGATTAGACTCTTTTGCAGATTTCCTGAAGTGTATTTATCCGCACTCATTTGCATGTGGAACTTTGCTAGGGGGAAAAAGTGGGGGTGCACTTACAAAGCATTAAATATTTTTTGTTCTCCCTCCCAAAATCTATTTTCTACTTACTATCCTCTCCTACAGCAGCTTTTGTCTAACAAGACCAGTGATAATTTTGCCTACACATGCTTCCTTTTAATGCTTCAGGAACTTGATTTGTATCAGTGATGGCTAACCTTTTTCCCATCACCTGCCAAAAGCAGGGGGAGCACAGGGGGGATCGTACGCAGGTGTACACACACCCATAATTCTATGCATATGACCCCCTCCCCCACGCATGCACACATGACCTCCACCTGCTTTTGGCCCATGATGAACCTGTTTTTCGCACTCCCCAGGCTCCAGAGGCTTTCTCTGGGGAGGGTGAAAACAGCCTCCCCTGCCTTCTCCAGAGGCTTCCCTGAAGCCTCCAGAGGGCAAAAAATGGCCCTATGGGCAACCCAGAAGTTCGAGAACAGACTTAGTTTACCTTCAAACTAGACTAGGTCTGTTAAATCTAGATTAATTTAATTAAATTAAAATAAATTAACTCAGTTTTTTTTTGTTTCTTAATTTTTATTTTAAACACATAAGCACATCAACAGAAACAAACACATGAGTTAAAAATAACATAGGAACAATAGGTTCCATCGTATATCATACAGCAGTTCCTAATCGGTTTCTTTGCAGTTAGTGTTTTCGTGATCTCCTTATTCGTTATCCATGTACAATTCTTATTATATCAAATTCAATCTTCTGTCTCTCATGTCTAGTTAACTTTGTAATGTGAATAGGATCAGAATTTCATACTATAGAAAGTTGTGTGTATATAACTGCAAAAAATCAAGTGTTATAATCTCTGAGAAAATTCCACTGGTGGCTAAAATTTGTGAAAATAACAGTCCAGTACTCACAAATCTTGATAATGAGTGCTAAAACTAAGGAGTGGCAGTTGGTCATTTTAATAGTTGTATTTCAGTATTTGGAAAAACCAAGATAGGGAAAACTGACTAACATGAACAACTATTCAGATAGCTAAGTGAGAATAACAAAACTTAGATGATGGTGTACTGCAGAATTGACTCAGAATCTTAACTTTGCCAGAAAAGCACAGAAAATGTGATTCAAAACTGAACCTGTTTCAATGGAAAGGAAAAAAAAATGCTATTGCACTTAAGCAAACATCCATGGTTGACATGTCCTATAAAACACCCATTTCAAATTTATATTGGATTACACCACCAAAACTATGAGATGGAACTGTATTTTTCTGTACTAGTAAGTTGTTGATTTAGTCAGCTTTCATGCCTTCTGCCTTGTATTTGTTCTGAGTTATCAATTTTTGGAAATATATCTCCTTTGTACCAACTAGATAATTTTCTGTGCTTATTTTGTTTTTTACTTTAAAGTACTGCCATCTGTGAATTATTGTGGGTTTATTTATAAACTGAGTACTATGTAATAAATTCCATGGGATGAAAACTATGGGACTGAATCACGCTAATCTATTTTTTTCTTTTAGGTATTCTCAGCCTTTACATGAAGAAATAGCTTTACACAAACACCTCAAACACAAGAACATTGTTCAGTATCTTGGTTCATTTAGTGAAGATGGATTTATTAAAATATTCATGGAACAGGTACCAGGAGGTAAAACATTTCTAGGTTTAAAGAATTAATGCATTTTTATTTAAATGTTTTCCATTGCTGTATTTTCTGTCAACCTAGGACTACTACTTCTAGAATTCCTCACCAGTTGCTAGGTCAGTAGGTTTGTTATAGAAGGTTATGAAGCAGTTTTTCTTCATTAACATTTTGAAAGTTGATGTTGTGTGAAATATTGTCTAGAATTCACAAAATTTGTTTTTCAATTCACTAATCAATGAGAGAAAAGCAATAAAATGTAACATTTTGAAGTAGAATAAACTATTTGTTTTTGTTTTATATTAAGAAAAAAATGCAACTAGTTCTGCAATAATGTTTGTAATAAACTGTATCCAATCCAAGTTTCCTCCAATACATTCTTGCATCTTTCCTCTGCACACATCTAGGTTTACTCTGTAGGGTTGAGGGAATTCAGGTGGCTTTAGGCAGAGGAGGAAAAGATAAACTGTTGTACAGATCTGCTTGAGTTTGCATTTAACCTGGTATATTGATAATCAGAATATTTTTTGTTACAAAAGGACCTAGTGTTATAATAAACACTTTCCATTTTTTTAGGAAATCAAGTAGGAACTGCTATTTACCCTTAGCATTTGTCTCATTTGAAACATTTTTTTCTTTATATTACAGGCAGCCTTTCAGCTCTTCTGCGATCAAAATGGGGACCATTGAAAGATAATGAACAGACAATTGGTTTCTACACCAAACAGATTCTTGAAGGATTAAAATACCTCCATGATAATCAAATTGTGCATAGAGATATAAAGGTGGGAATTGCTATGTACTTTAAAGTGTACATAATACAATTCCTTTGCAGAAAGAACTGTTATGAATGAATGTAAAATTATTTTATGAATATGAAATTAATCCAACTTTTCTCTGAAAGGAAAAAAGTCTCAATGCCCATTTGATCATAGTAAATAGAGAAATCTGAACAGATATCCACAAATAGGAATGCATTGGAACTGATTTAGTTCTTAGTATTTTAGGATTAATAGATGATATGAAATAATGGTGGATAAGATGTTTGCAATTTAGTGGGGTAGTCTAGTTGAAATTCTCATCTGAATTCAGCCTTGTTTTAGTTGTAGGTTCTTCAAAAGGTTTTGGAAAAAGCATGGTGTCTGTTAGACACAAAGAACCCAAATAAAACTGGAAGTTGATCAGAGAAATATGTTTATTGCTACTCACCCATTTATAAGAATCTTGCCAGACTAACTGCACTCACTACAAACAGCTAGCAATTAGATGAGCGCTGCAAGATTTAGGGAGGGTCTGTTTTCTGCCATTTTCTCCCTTTCAATGATTTCAGAATAGCCAATCTCCCTCGATTTCAGCTGCAGATTCCACCACAGTGTCTGATTCATGTCCTTTTACAGTTACCTAAAGAAATAGTGATGCACAGAACATACCTGACTTGTGATTATTTTAACCAATCCCCTTTTCTATATTAATTTACATCAGGGATCAGAAATCTTTTCAAGATTTCTGGTGGAATTCTCACATTTATCAATTTGTATGAGTGAGTGAGGGGTTACATACCCTTGATGATGGATATATCAAATACGAAGGGTTCATGAGATGTGATTTACTGTTCTGTCACTTCTCTACCCCATTTATTCATTTTTCTATCTTTCATACGTTTTGCCTCAAAACACTTATTTTTTCAATATATTGCAATTCACTGTTCTTTTTCTAATATAACCAACTGCTATGGCTATGCTACCATGAGGTAGCCTGCTCAGGGAGTTCTTGACTGATAGAATAGAGGGAAACCCAAATGATTCCAAAAAAGATTGGAGAACTTTTCCTTCTTTGTCCTGGGAATTGTTCCTGATGTGAACATACGTTTCATATGTTCTTCATATGAAAATAGAAAATTTATACAAATCAACTGATTTTTCAGCCAGGCTTCAAGTAATTCCTCTCTTATGCTCTTGCTTTGTAATAGTTTTGTTAGATCTTTCAATTCTTATAAGAGACAGTAGAGGGAGGAAGACAAAGTAAAATCTATTAAGTGACTTTGCCTGCCATTTGCCAATTATATTGGTAAACTTCATCAAAGCACTACGAGTATTAACTTCTACAACAACAGAATGGAATGCTAGAATTCTGATACTTGTAACTTCCAGCATCTGGCTATGCTTCCTAAAAATACTGGAGATGTTCAACAACATCTGCAATGCCACAGTTTTCGTAGCCCAGATTTATAACGTGTTAAGAAATTATGTTGATAAAAAAAATAATTAAAACCACACAATATTAGGTAAAGAAAATAATTTTTCCCTACAGTTTTTGAATTGCCTCTTTTTATTGTCTCCCCCCACCATTGTTTTAGAAGGTACTTAGAGATACTAGTTCAGTATTCAGGAATGAGGGGGTCATCAGAGACATAATCTAGTGTCAAAGGTATAGCAAAATCTATTTCATTCATAATCACTTTTCAGCATTCATTTCAACTGCAGATTGTTTTGTGATGTCAGTCATAAGGTGAAACTGTGATCTCAAATGTTCTCTTCCCCCAGGGGGATAATGTTCTTATCAACACATACAGTGGAGTGTTAAAGATTTCAGATTTTGGCACATCAAAGAGGCTTGCTGGAATCAATCCTTGCACTGAGACTTTCACAGGTATGTTCTAAATCTGAAAGTATATTGTAAAGTTGCCTAATTTCAATGTCAGGAAGAATGTTCAGTGTTCATAAATTAAACATAGTCTTTGGGATTCCTAATAGGTATAACATGCCCATTTTATTTGCCTTGGTTAGGAAAAAAATACCCTCTCTCTGCAGTGCTTTAAATGTATGCAAATCTTAAAAAGTGTAAATTAAGAAAATTTACATTAGAAAATATGTTCATGATGTAGTCCACATAAGTAGAAATAATCATCTGTTGATATGGATAGCAATCTCCATTGTTATCAGCAATATTCCTGATAATTGATTTAGAGCAGTGGTTCTCAACCTGTGGATCATGACCCCTTTGGGGGGTCGAATGACACTTTCACAGGGGTCACCTAAGACCATTGGAAAACACATATTTTCGATGGTCTTAGGAACCAAGAAACCTGCATGCCAGTGTTTGGGGCCAGGGGAGCAGCGGCGGTGGGGGCGGGTGCTGCCTTGCGAAAGGAAGGGGCTACTTGACAGGAGCAGCGCCGTGAAGACAGCCGGCGCCCAGCAAATTGCAACACGAGAGGCACTGGCGGATGGATCAGATGGCTGCGCTGAACAAGGGGACGGGAGAGAATGGAGCGCGTGAGCACCGCTGAGGCAGCGCCTTGAGAGGGGGTCAGGCTGATCTCCCAGCTGGGAGGGGAGGGGATGCCAGGAAGAAGCAACTGAGAACCGAGGAGGGAAGGACGGTGATGATGTCCCTTCAGTCTGCAGCCGCCTCCTCCTCAGAGACTCAGAAGTTTACACGGGCGCTCTGCAGCAGCTGGCTCCAGATGTTCGGGATTTCCCTTTTCTGTAAAAAACCTCCATTCACAAGGAGACCCGCCTTCGTTTCCTTTCCACAATATCTATGAATGAATGAGTAGTTAGAAAACTTGCGAGCGAGAGGATTCCAGGAGTTTAGGGGCCAGTGGGGGGGGGGGGGTTTCCGGGGTTTGGGGGGCCAGGGGGGGGGGGGGGGAAGGTAGCTGTCACAAAACATCTTCAGCAGCTGCTTTGAAAAAAAATAAAGCACTACATCTTTTTAGTTTTAAGTTTTAA